AGAATTTAAAGATGTTGTCTACTGGAAAGGATCCAGTGGTATCACAGTCCAAAGCCAACACTCAGAAACACTTAAGCACGCACAGAAGCGCTTCGCAAGGATTTTCCTTGAAGTGTTACAAATGACTACAACTTCTACATTCATGTGCATCACTTTCAAGTAAACAGGCAAACAGCATATCCCCTGTATCATCAAGGTTTAGGATCACTGAAATGGCACACAACACATTGGATCAACACCCAATCCAGTGCTCCTGCATGTGCAGATAACCACATATGCCCACAGCATTGTCTCTGTTGGTTTTAATGATACAAGCTAATTTAAAATTAAAGTACCTCTTAAGAGGCCAGACCAAGGACATTTCATCTGCCCATCACGGTAGAGTACTGGGCATAATTGTGTTCACCTTAGCAACAAAGGAACATTTCAGCATTTTATATATGTTCTCATTCCCAAATATAGCCCCAGCCAGCCTTGCATAGAGCATTTCTAAAAAGCATGTTCAGCCTTTAACTGACCTTGTTTCTTCAATGTTCTCTCTGCCTTTTTATCCAATTTAATTAAGGGTTTCTCGCTGCTTCTTGGTATTTCCTGGCTCTTCTAGATTACTACTTCATATTAAAAGGTACAGTTAAGGGAAGAATAATGGATGGGAATTATTCTCAGTTTCCTCTTTACTTCTACAGGGCCCCATGGGCACAAAAGCTGTGCCATGGCTAAAGCAAACTAATGTAGTTATTAGAGAAAATAAATAGCCCTGGCCATGGAGGTAATTCTTAATGAATTAATACATAAATGATTTCTAGTTGTGGGAACCCCATCAAATTATTACAAATATTAAATATATGTTCGCCATATACAGCCATACGGCTTTTTAAAAACACTGCTGCTCCAAAACTATTGTCAAAACAATTAATAAGGGATTGTTTTTGCTGCCCCATGCTATCATTTAAGAAGAAACATAGATAATAATTAAAGCAAAAAGCATACGAAGTCAAGCTATTGACACTTCTACTACATGAATTCAAAATTTGTCCATTATCTCTCGTACTGGATTGGTACATTCCCTCCTGTTTATCCCTTCATTTTCCCTTGACAGCTTAGTTTACACAATTTTTGCAATGGCATATAAATTTACTACCTCTGCTTTCTTTTCTTCAGCTCTGAAGCTAGTGACCTATAAGTCTTCTATACTTTGAGGTGTTTAGGAGATCGCTTGGAGGAATAGCTAAGTAAATTTTGAACATTACTTATAGCTCTTCTGTACATAATAAATCTGTGTTTAATGTAAACGAACATATTCTTCACTGGTTATAATAAACTAAAAATATAGGATAAGTTTAGCCAAAGTACTTTTTAGAAAGGGGTGAAAAGAACAAATGTTTTCACTGAATATGTATTTTTCTACCATAGGATTATGTACATCTCATGCATCCTTGTCTGTTCTCACAGAAGACCAAATGTGTTTAGCCTTACTAAACCAAAGCAATAGAAGCACAAGTGCGCACATGCTCGCATGCATAAACACGCAGACACATACACCCCACTCACTCATCTACCTCTGAGAGAAGAGCAGAAATGGCAGAAGATGGGTAATTGCCTTTCCAAAAGGTACTGGCCAATTTTACAAAATCTGATGCCATCAGTCATTCAGCCCTGCATAAAATTTCTTGCAATTCTTTTCTCCCTAAACCCCAATGACATTGAAAAAAATACTGCATTGCAGTATTTGCCAGTGTATCAGAGGGTATTCTGTCAGATGCCCCAAAGTCAAACCAAATAAGAAGGCATATAATCATGTATAGTAAATGCCACACAACAGAGAAACTGAAAAGTGTGACAACGCTGCGAGTGCAATTAAATATTCAAGCTGTACTGCATGCCCACTCTGTATCTTAAGGTCCTGGATTATGTACAAAAATATCAAGGATTGATATACTCCTGAAGTTACTTTATGTGGGTAATCATGCACAGCCTAGAACCATAACCTCCCCACAAGGTCATGCATATGTAAGACTTAATGTTACATATGTAGTAACTCCTAACAAGCGTTCCCAGAGACATACTAGGCATTCAAAAGTTTTTAAAACATAACTTATGGGGCAAAACGTGTGGAAGATTGAAAAATGAAAAAAAGAAAAGGTATTACCAAAAAACAATTTATTAAGATTCCATAACACTGAAAAAATAATCCATTGAAGTTTGAACTCTTCTATGCCTATTAAGAACAGAATATAACCAAGCCCACCACTGGAAGCATCCTTTTGTTTTCATTCTTTTCTTGGTCACCCTTTTGTTGTGATTCTCTAATACAGCATGTTAGTTCTTCCTTTACCAATGCAGCCAAAAGAGGCAACAAAAAGAAAGGAGCCAAAGGAAAGATGTCCAGCTAGAAGAGCATCTTTCTACGTAACGTGCCAGTTTCATTAGTTATGTGCACTGCAAGAGGAATAATTATAAATTAAAGGATGGAGTCAATATTTAAACAATCCATAAACTGGACTATTTGTCCTGACTAGAATTTTGTAAACTATAGATATTTAAACAAAATGCTTCACACATCTCACCTGCTTTAGGTATCCAATTAAAGGTTCAGTGCAGAAACAATCATAAATAATCTGCTGGTTTTATATATTTTTCTTCTACAAAGGTTCTATTCATAAGCTTTCATGTTACCCAAGAAAATCTTACGTGTATAAACTAACAGTAAATAAAGAGCTACATATACATAGAAGCTATGGATATTATATCCATCTCTGGCACCAAAAATCTGATAGCTCAATGCCAATGAGATATATGTAAGGAGGAAATGAAAATCTACACTAAAATTGTGTAGAGTAGATGAAAAGAGAACCCTAAAAAAACACCTACCAAAATGATTCAAGAAAACAATAGAGCTGTATGCCGATACTCTTTGAGAATGGGGAGGGAGACACTCAATAGTCTGAATGTGGAATGAAGATTATGAACATAATATTGCATCTGAAAATGATTTTTTAAAATTCATCAGAGTTTCCATATATGAACCCATACAACTTTCTTTTCCTATATAGCGACATGGTCAATTTCGTCTACCCTGAAGTCTCCAAAAAAATTAGTTAAGGAATGAAATCCAAGCAGACTTGATTTCTCGTCTTTTAATCCTTCTAAACACTAGCATTTCCATTCTAACTGATCATTCAAATTATGTGCCAAAGAAAGGGAATGCGAAATTTGGCAAGCATAAAAGGTGTGCCCCTGTATTCCTGGTATGCTTCTCTTTTATCCTTGCCATACATTCCGGGCATGTGCATCCTTAGCCTTCTGTATTATATTTACCATCACCTGCCAACCAACAAAGTCTTCTAACGCTTTACATGCCCACTACCTTCTTTTAAGAGATGCTATGCTATTATTTTGTGCCCGACAACATATGGCACCATAAAAATTAGCAACAGATACTCAAGTTTGTTCTTAACAGCACCTAGCTTATATTATTGTATTTTAAGTACTGCTTCACAAAAGACAGATAACGTATTGCGATAAAAGATCTGTAAGACTGTGGAAATTAAGTTGGGTAGGAAAAAGAGTAGTTTCATTATATTTGAAATCTGCGATTCCATGCATAAACTAAATGACAGCCTGTATTTGCATTAAATAATGATTCCACTACAGAACCATGGCATTTCACAAAACACACAACGAACAGCACTTCCACATAAAAACCTTTACTTAGGGTAAGTTTGTGCACAGTTCTCACCCTGATATTTGATGAATACTCTAAGAGAGCATTTGCAAGTCTGCTAGTTCCATTCAGCATCCTGTATCCTTATAGTGTTCTGCTTCCCTTGCGCCTTGTACTTTCTTGCACATGCAATTTCACATCAGAAATAAAATGGTTAAAGAGCCCCCACCCACCATATGCAGAAAAAGAACAGATGCAGAAAAAATAGGATTCTAGAAATCACTGTAAGCTTGAGCCAGAAATGTAATTAACACTTATTTATAAAGAATAATTAAAGTTGTGACTGCCACAAAGAACACCAAAGATAATTGAGGTAGCCCCAGAATTTTTTTACGCTGTTTGCAGTATTCCCACATGACTGCCACCTGCTCCCCCACTCAGCTTCCCCAATGCTCGTTTCCCCGGCAACCTTTCATTGGCTTTTCCTCCCAGCTATCGCTTTCAGTTCGGCTGCTCAGTCTAATCTTATTTGTTTTACACCCATCAAAACAAGCAGCTAGACAAAGAAATCCTATAAGAATAGGGAAAAGACCATAGCTTTGTTTCCCAGTTTATAATAAATATCCAGAGAGAGAAGAGGGAACGCCTGCAAAATGTTTAATTGAAACAAAAGTAGGAAGAATGAGGTGAATGTTAATGCCTTTTCCCTCCCTCCTGCTGCCCCCCCACCTCCGTGATTTGCTCTGTTCTGAAAGATTCAAAAGTCCATATTTGATAGAGCCATTTTGCACAATCTATAAGGAAAGCATAAGAAACAGCGAAGGGGGTGGTGGTGGTGGGGGGAGTAGAGAGAACAAGTCATGTAGTTTCTGATTTTTCTCTGCTGGAAGAATGCTCCAAAAATAGAAATACTACTATCACACCAATGGATTTAACTTCCTTCGGCAGAAAAGAAAGCACCCTTGTTTCACAATAGCGTTCGGATTCTACGGCAACAGTACATGCAGTCATTAGATTTCAACTTAGCAATCGTGTAGCACAAATGAAGATTAAAAGGCGTCTTGTGCTGGGGACACACTACAAAAGCACCGCGACTGTCAGCGGAGATCATCCAAATGCATGCTCACTGGATGAAACACTCAGTGCCACGACACTTGACTATATGTATATAATAGTTGTACATACACATTACATACACAGGTGCCCCCATTAAAAGCCAAAACGGCCTGTAATTTTATTTATGGCTCACAATCTGCCACCCTAAACAAGCATAATTCACAAGGCATACCAACTGCACCAAGCCTATATGGACAGTTTGCTGCCGGCATCCACTTACCATTTTCAAGCCATTCCACTCCATCTGTGATCACAAAGATGGACCCTTACAGCCCCGCACAGTGTCAAAAGCAAAAAGAACGTTATGTAAAAGCTGACATTCCTTCTTACAGAACTCCTGCCCAACGATGCAACAAATCGGCATATACTAGGCGCTGGTACACATACAAGCCGCCTCCTCTTTTTATGAGGTCATGACAGGAAACTCTTTGAAATACAATATGCAGCATTTACTGAAGCTCCTATAAATCACTCTCTTAGAAAAAAAAGGAAGGAAGGAAGAAATACCATGCCTACTGCGCAATACACCAAACCAAAAAGTATCAGTCCCAAGGCAATTGCCTCCTTATTTTATTTTTTTCAAGGATTCCATTTTGCGTGTGTGATGCCCGCGTGTGAATGTGGGGGAAATAACCACCCCAACCCCCGCCTTCAGCATTTCTGTTGGCCACACGCAGCCTCGTGCTGGAAGCCAGCCTTTTCTTTATTCCAAAAGAGAAATGATAATGACCTTAAAATGGCAAAGTACATCGCGGCTGCCCTTTATTAAAAGCGAGGCAAGTATATCAATGCGAGAGAGAGCAGGAGAGAGCGAGAAGGAAGATAAATGAAGGGAGAAAGACATTTAACAAGCGAGCCAGCGGGAGCAAACTAAACTCATGTGACAACACAGACTGATCAAAATGCAGACTTGGGGAAAGCTATATGTTCTATACACAGACTATGAAAGACTGCTGTAACAAACAGATTTTAAAAACTACTAATACCTACCATAACCATTCTTAATGGCAAATAATAGGTCTTGCAAGGCTTCAATTCCTCTAAGGATTTGATATGGTTTCAGGGAACTAAATGTGTTAGAATGGTATCTTTTTTTATAAATTAAAAATCAAAATCAAAAATCCACAAAACACACAGTGCTGTTGTAGGGTGCAGCAAAATGAGGAAAACAAAACAAAAACCCAAGCACTGTGATGAAGCCCCCTGATTTTAGAACGTAGCTAACAACTGAATAGAGCCTTGATGAAATTGGCTAGCAGCTTCTCCTTTTTACATCCATTTATGGGACCATCTGTCAGCTGAAAGCAAGATCCGATTGGCTAGGGAAACTAAAGGAGGCGTTGCAACATCAGGTGCTATTGAAATTAGCTACTGCCAGATTGACAATGTTAATGATTTGGTGACCTCTACAACAACAGAGACCAGATTTCTGAACTGCTGCTTGTGTCTAGTAATTAAGGGCCAGTTTAGGAACATCACACATGCATGGATTTTACCCACTCCTCTTTCCCCCTTCCTCCATCAGTCACTCAGAGAGAGGGGCAGTTTCAGGCCACACCTCAGAGTTTCCAGCACTTTGACACTCAAGTGTTACACCTCAGCCATGCTCCACTGACTCCATCCTCTCACCTCTTCCATGCAAGGCTGTGAAGTCTAGACCATTTAAACCACCTTATCTTTCTCGACAGTTGCTTTCCAGAGAAATGCATATTTAATGATCTGCCTCTAGGCTTAAAAGATATGACAAAAACACTTTAATGCGCATCTTAACTGTATTTATTCATTGGTGCTATGGTGTTTAGTCTCTACATAATTCCCAAAGATCTGCCCATAATAAAGGACATTCGTGTATTTTGTAAATTTGATTTACAAAATTACAGTCACGGGATATTTCTCAGGACAAAACATTTAGCCAGAATGTTCAGGTAGAAAATGGGGGGGGGGGAGAGAGATTTTAGGGACTGTTCTGTTCTGACAAAAGACAGTAATGCTTTTCTATACAAGAGAGTATTTTTAAGTCTTGCTATGGTTGTGGAAATTTCTTTGCTTATTTGCATCTGAGAAAATAAAAATCACAAATGTGACACAAAATGTCACAAACTTTTCACTGTCCACCCACATAGTGAAAACACTTTCGATAAGGATATCTTCATTTACATTTGCAATAAAAAAGAGTTTGTTTCCAAAACGCATTCACTATTCTTATGTTTGCTTCAAGCAGCCTAGTCTATAAACTAGAACCTGCTCATACTATAGCCAACTCAGATTAACAATTTTACACACACACAAAATATGCTCTCACTGAATGTTCTGAGCAAAACTATTCTGTGTGCCATCTGAAATTAGCTAAAACGTTTCCAAGCTATTAGAAACTGGTTTGTTTGTCAGTTTCTAATGCAGCCACATCTGAGTAAAACACTACCATGGGCCATGCAGCATACACATCTTCCACTGAGACCACAATATTACTATACAATGAGCAAACATAACCCATAACGAAAATAAAGAAGTGAAAAGTGAAATAAAAGCAACTCACTGAAAAAGAAAATTGTACACTGTTTAAATAACTGTAAGCTTCCCTTTTGCTTCTGGATCTGATTGCTGTCTACTTAAGAGATTCAACTAACCCATTTCAAAACTTGAAAACATCAAGTAGTACGACGGTAGAGTAAATGGCTGGGCAAGAGGATGGTGAACCCCAACTGTAACATGCAAGTTTGATTTGTAATAGTGATTTTGAATTAATTTCTGAGAGGTTAAAAAAAATTAAACAGAGTAAAGAAATCCTCTATCCATCCTTTTCTCCGTCTCAACGCACTTCATTAGCCACCGTTTTTTAAATGTCCAGAATCATTATTCAGCTCTTTGTCTTAAAATACAATTGCAGATACAAGCATAAATTGGCTGTCTTGCCAACCTAAAAATCCATGCATTTTGTACAATGTGCACCAACACTGAGAACCACATAAGAAAAATATTTAAGAGAACTGAAATAAATAAATAATAAAGCAAGTGGGGGGAAAAACCACAAGGCAAATACACCCATGTCCACAGAGGCCTCTCTCTAAAGACAAAGGCAGAATCCTATTGTTGGGGCTGGGGAACAGTCTTATTATCAGATTTCCAATAGGACCATTCATCTTTCGGGGGGGGGGGCGCGGGTGGCTGACCAGTGCATCACCAGCAGTGACACAATTTGTAAAGCATCAAAATTTTCAATAAAGTCTCTCAACCATAAACCGAGAGAAGCCTCCAAGTGGAGATGCTATTTTCATGAAACCCCCTTTATCTCCCCCTCCCCCAAAAAACTTGACTCAAAATGCAGCTAATCCATTTTCAAAATGAAACCACACGAGTCCTTTTGCCCTCCCTCTTCTTCCTTACCATAAATGAGCAGTTTCTTGACTCATTAATGACAGTTTCCCTTAAAAGAAGTGATCTCATAGCACTGTGTCCCTCTCCACCATGCATACATCCCAAAGGTTGCGGGTATCTTAGCATCAGGAACCGCCAGCAAGCTTTCTCATACAGAGTCCAGATGGACTATACTAGAAGCCAATTCAGCGTTAATAACTACCTACACTGTGCAGTTAAGAAGGCTTGCGTGGCATAATGTCCTAGGCAACAGCAGCTGATTAAAACCACAAATAAAAGAGAATCCTGTTATCCAAAATGATTGATGGGAGGTGTTGTTTAAAAAAAGAAAAAAGAAAAATAAAGCGAAGGATTTCCATTCCCCCCCTCTTTTCTCTCTCTTTTAAATCTCTCACTTTTGAGGATGGAATCTTTTCTAAACATATGGAGAAGAAGAAGAAAAACCAAACACTGCCCAGAAGATGTGACAAAATATTACCTCATTATTTAACAAAGCAGCACTAAGCGTCCTGGTGATTTCAAACATCTTGCCACAGATTTTGGTTTTAGAGAAACGGAAAAGAGAATCCTTTGCAAATCCAGTCCTCTATCAGCACAGGGGAAGTCAAATTTCCTGCACACAACAATGTTTTCTCCCTAGATTTAACACATTAAAACACCTAGTCAGTGAGCTGCATTTTCCCTCTTCGCATACAGAGCAGACTCACTCCTGTAACATGTACTGCTCTCTTTTGCCTGCTACTCCAAAGCATGGTTGTTACTTAAACTGTTCTTTAAAGTAACAGTTCACTCTCTAGCCACCAGGTGGGCAGCGTGGAATGATTCAAAATGAACATCTTGAGATTGCAACTGAACAGCTCCTAACTGTGGCTCCTTATACAAATAAAATGCCAAGTATTTATAAGGGACAAAGGTGTGGCTTGCATGATTGTATCGTCTGCTTTGTCAATGAATCATGCACAGCTTTTGTTGGGGGGGGGGGAATAAATGAGCCATTTAAAAAATTACTTACCAGGGTTCCCCACCCCCCACTCCTAAGAAAACAAGGCATCTTAAATGAAAAGCCCCAATTACCACTTTTGAAAGGGTTTAGTAAAATGTTCATTAAACTTCAGCACTGCCCCCTTTGCTCAGTTTAGCAGAATTCTACTACAATCCCATTTAACTCGTCTAGTTGCTTGGAATACAGTAACCCTGCAATTTATGTGCATTTTACCTTGTGCGCATTCAGCTTTACATGGTTGGTTGGTTGATAAATATATATATAAATAAATAAATAAGGAGTGGAAAGGGGGTGGACTTCCAGGAAAACAGACTTTGGCAATCCACCCACCATTGAATCCAATGTATTTTGACTACACACGATTTTGGCTTTAGATGCAATCGCTGGAACATGACCCCCACGTAAATTGCAGGTTTAGTGTAATGTTTGGATGAAAAATTTACAATGCCTACAGAAAAGCTGAGCATCCTAGCTTTTATGCCACTTGCAAGTTCTTGCTTGATGTTTATAGTCCTTGTGACAGAACGGATAAGCTAAAAGTGATGATTAAAATAATTTTTTTAAAAATCATCTCAGTGTCTTCAGTGTGTGATTTCCAGCTAAAACAAAGCACCCTAGATTTTAGGTTGTAGTACTGGGAACAAAACAGTACCTTTTCTAAGCAACTGAAAAGCCCCATTCAGATTTGTGTATGACATTTCATGGAGAATGTAAACAAGATACAAAAGACTACAGGGATACTATATTTATTAGTAGCAGTAGTTGTTGTAGTAGTAGTAGCAGTAGTAGTACTCTATGAAGTTTAAAAGGACTGCTCTCCGTCCTGAGGAGCTTAAAATCTAAACATGAGCTCAGAAAGACAGCAGATAAAAGAGATATTGAGAATAATGTATGTTCATTCAGTTGCATATGTAGCACCATTTCATTTTTCTCAATCAAGAATTGTCCTCAACATGCTGTTTTTGATTTACATTTAGTACTGCCTTCCACAAGGGTGGGTGTGGTTACTTGATACCCATTGATACCCATTTGAAAACCCACCATCGTATACACCCACCCACAACATCACTAGGAAAGTGTGGATACAATCCTAGTGATGCAGAATCAATGATATTTTAATTTGGGCATGAAACAACTTTCTCAAGTAGAGCTTTTCAAGGGCAAAAAATATGCAGTAGATCTAGACAGCGTGTGGACTATGTAAAATAAAGAACTTCCA